ACTGGGGTAATTGGGATGGGAGTGTCAGAGACAGTGCGATTGGCACAGGACAGAACAAAGTTTAGGGCTTTTGTACATAGGGTCGCTATGAGTCACAAGCAACTTGAGGGCACATAACAACAACAACAACCGTTGGCAACAGCAGTCAGGAAGTCTGCTGTCAGGGACCTCTTTGAGGTGCTGAAGAGAGCAATCTCTGTTTGAGGACTAAGATGCATCTGATTCAAGCAATTCTTTGTAATTGCTTCTTATGTATCTGAAATCTAGGCATTGACTACGTTATGGCAGTAGAAGAACTGATGACTTTGAGGTGCTTTGTTGAAGAAGAGTGTACAGAACATCCCAAGGACTGTCTTGGAGAAAGTGCAGCCATGATGCTCCTCAGACGGAAGGCTGATGAAATATGTCACATACTTGGGCATGTTATTCGGAGAGGCCAGTCCTTGGAAAAGGGCATCAGGTTTGGAAAGGTGGAGGGTCCGCGTAAGGGAAGAAGACCCTCAACGAGATGGTCTTGACACGGAGGCTGTTGCAATGAGCTAGAGTAAGCAAGGATGATGACGATGGCACAGGGCAGGGCTTTCGGAGGGTCAATACGACTTGTAGTCGACTCCACAGCACCTAACAAAACGGTAAAAATGGGCCCCAGGGCCGTTTTGAGTAAAGGGATGCGGGCTATTGGCGAGAAGTTAACCTGCAAATCTAGCTGATGGACGAGTTCTACCGCCCCTTAGGCCCACTCAGGAAGGAGGAGAGGTGTGCCAGGTGAAGGTCGCCCACCCCAGAATGACTACCAGTCTTCCTCTCTCCAGCGCCTGTCCCAGGTCCCCAGCTACTGATCCTCACCCTCACCCCTCCCACCTCTTCCGCTGCCCAAGCGGGCGGAACTACACTCTAGTCTTGACTTAAAAAGTGGCAGCTAATTGACCTGAATTCTCCAAAGTGTTTATCGGGGAGCCAGGCTGGAGAAGCGCCCCTCAGGCTAGGCGGACTTTGGTTAAACCTCTTAACTGCCTGTGACGTATAGAGGATTATCTTCACCTGTGTTGCAGTTTAGGGAAGTGAGATGATAGAGGAAATTGTGGGGGTGATCCAGAAGTGACGCAGGCGGGTCTCCACCTTACAACCAGCCTCGCATTTGCATTGCAGCTGATGGTTTGCACTCCCTAACTCCCCTTTCCCGGGAGCTGAGCACCCATCTCCCCCAGAACTTCCGCGCCATCCCCACCGCGCTCTCGGATCCCTGCTCCCCACTGGGGCACCATCTCTCTCGGCTAGGACCCGAGGCTCCTGGCGTCGTGGGCAGAGCCACAGCGCAGAGCCAGCCTTTGTTCCCTGCGCTGCGGCTTGTGCGGAGTCACGGTCACATGCGCTTCCGGCACCGAGTGTTCTGGGCGCCGAGCCAGGCTGCGAGCGCGAGCGCGGCGGGGATGGTCCCCACGCTGCTCCCCCTCCGTGCAGGAGCCTCGCCCGCCCCACGGCAGCTGGCCTGCAAGGCCTCCTGGGGGGGCTCCCCTCTCCACCGCCCTGTCAGCGCGGCACCCCGCGCTCGGCGGCGCGCCTGGGCCGTGTTGGCCCGCTTCGTGGCCGCGCCCGCCTCCACTGGCTTCCTTTCCAGCCTGGGTGCGTCTTAATTCCGAGTGTTTCCTGGGACTTCCTTACCTGGCTTTAGACAAAATCAGACCCATCGTTCTCTCCATTGTGGAGTACTGAACGGCAACTTAGTATTGGGAAATAGTGGAACTGGCTTTGTTTTAGTGTAAAAATTTACATGCTGCCCAACAACAATAGCTTGTGAATATTGATTCTGAAATGCTATGGCCAGTAGACAATTCTTAGAAACCTCCATCCGGTCAATGCTTGAGTTTCACCCACCATGCAGGCAAAGCTTTTTTTTTTTATTTTACACAATATAGCATTAATCTCTTAAAAGCAAGAAAGCCCCTAATATCAAAGTTTATGGTCTGCTTCATCTACATTCTCATGCCCTATCAACCTGGACTTCAATATGGACTGAAGCTCAACATCAAGAAGATAAAGATGTCAGCTGGCAGCACCATGATAGATGGAGAAGAGATTGAAAGTTGTCAACAATTACAAGGTGCGCTTGATCAGGCCATGGTCTTTGCAATTACTTGCTGTGCATCAGAGAGTTGGCCAATGACTAAGGATAACAGAAGAATTGATGCCTTTGAGTTGTGGTGCTTGAGGGGAGAAAACAAATAGGTTTGTTCTGGAGAGGATGAAACCAAACTTCTCCTTGGAGGATAGGATTTTGAAGCTTTGTCTCACATTCTCTGGGTACATGGCCAGGAGGGACCAGTACTAGGAAAAAGACATCATGGGTGGAGGGACAACACAGGAGAAGACCCCGGGTGAGATGGATTGATGCAGTAACTGAGGCAATAGGGACAGGCGTGTCAGAGTCAGTGAGACTGGCTCAGGACAGGGCAGGCTTCAGAGCTGTTGTACATAAGGTCGCTGAGTGGTAGGTGACTCAACGGCACATAACAACAACAACATCAACCTGGCCTAGATGGCTTCATCTGACTTTGTATCTCCCCCATTGTAACACATACTGTGTATGTCCCCTTCCTGTGTTATGTGTATATCCTGGTCTCTGATAAGATGAAGACATTGAGGTTGCCACTCATAATAGAAGATATCTAAGAAGCCAAGAAAACAAAATATGTGGACACTCCCTTTTATTACCTTTATGTAAATGGCATTTCAACAGTGTTTAATTTTATAGAAATCTTTCTGGAGAATGTACCCTGATGAAGTTCAGGTTTAGCCTACCTGCCAGCTATCCAAGTCTCCCACTTTTTTCTTTTTCTACAGCATGCCTGAATAAACTACCTTTTCTTGACTTTTAGTAACTGGGGTGGCTATTGCGCTTTCTTCCCCTTTAATAACTCTATTCCCATCATTTAACGACAACATGACAAAGGCAGCCCTGAGCCACCCAGAGATACTTCTCCCTCCCTGGTGCACAGCTTCTGTCTGTCGCATTGCCATCAGATCGGACCCAAAGTTGACCCTCCAGCTCATAACTGGCTCCCTGGTGGGTTTACAGAGGCTATAAATCACATGGGAGGAGACTGCCTATCTCCGTGAGAGCCGTGAGAGCCGTGAGAGCCGTTGGTGGATTCAAACAGGCAGAGAAGCCGCAGTGCAGCTCCCCAAGGACTCTGCTGCCAAAGCTCACTGATGTTGCTGTTGTGTGCTGTTGATTGGGAACCAACCCATAGCTGACCCTCCAGTGGGTTTTCAGAGGCAGTAAGTCCCATGAGAAGAGACTGCCTATCCTTCTCCTGTAGAGCTGTTGGTGGATTCGAACAGCATGCCTCTGGGATTACAGCACAGCTTCTTACTACTAACTAGGTCACCAGAGTTCACTAGACAGATTATCTAAGTGTAAAAGCCACATGAAAGGGGGTCAGAGACTAGGCTGGCACTCTTAACCCGGAATGGTCCCAAGGGAACCGCATCCCCAGACATCAGCTGTGCCCCAGCCTGGGGTTTGAGACCCATGGAGACTTCATGGAGGCAACCTTTCACTCAGAAGATTCAAGAAGCCATTCAACAAATGTTTATTAAAAGCTTGAGACTTGAAGGGGAACCAGGTTCCTCACTTATACCAGTCCTGAATGAGCCCAGAAAAGAATGTGGGTGGATTCTCCTTATGCTGGAGCAGTGGCCCTGGCCCCGCAGGCCCAGCTTCCCCCAGGAGGAGGTGATAGCCATTCCTGGAGGTCCAGAATGAGGCTCTTCTGACCCCTACTCCCAGCCTTGGGGATAGGGGGCAGGACCAGGTTGGGGTGAGCCTTGGGGACCTTTCTCTTCCTGGCTGACCTCTCTCAATGTGGAGGACTTGCAGGAGCCTGGAGAGACTGGAGTGGTGGAGGCTGGCAAGGAAAGAGGAAGGGTCCAAGCCAGCTGTGGAGTCAGGGCTTGGTGGGGAAGAGGAGGCAGGTGAGCTGGCGGCTGCCGCTGTGTCTGTCCACCAGGGGCAGGGGGTGCTGCGTGTAGTGCTGGACCATGGCAGCCACGGAGGCGAAGTGCTGGGCAGGAAAGCAGAGACAGTAAGCCCTCCCCTTCATGCTCAGGGGGACCTTCCTGAAAAAGCTCAGGGGCACTGGTGATATTTTTCTGAATGTTTACTTTTCTATTCACCCCTTTGAAGTGCCACTGTCATTTGTTGGCCCAGCTCTAGGTCTTGTGTGACTGTACCCACTGCCTTGCTATTGGCCAAACTTGCATTTCCAAGGCCAGGCTGAACTAACTTCAGGGCTATGCCTCTCTGTCCTGGTCCTCCAGCTTGGGGGCCTGAGTAGTGGTTGAGTCTCCAGTTTGTATCCTAGTAAATTCTAGGTGCAAAGTTGAATCCCCAGGGTGGACAGGTGCCTGGACCACCCTGGTCTTCCATTTGTCTGGTCTGAGCTCACAGGTGCAAAAGCCCCAACTTCAGCCTATGTGTACTGAGCTCACAGGTGCAAAAGCCCCAACTTCAGCCTATGTGTACTGAGTCATGGCGGAGGGTGCCCTCCCAAGACCAGGGCGTCTGTCCAAAGTGCTAGACTGTTGGAAAGGGTTCAGAGCTCTGGTCTCTGCCACCCCTACACAGCTCAGAAAAGTACACAGCGTGTGTCTTCCCATAGGCCAATGTTGCCACATCCCTCCTGCGTCAGGGACCTGCTCCCCCAGCACCTACCTCCTTGTTCTTGCCCTCCCGGCCCAGCACATAGTGGTGCCCATCATCCAGCCAGCAGATGGGGATGTTGAAGACATGCCCGTGGAGGAGCACTGCCAGGGTGAGCGGCTGGGAGCCCTGCGGCTCTGAGCTGGGGCGCACAGTGTAGGCGCCGTCCTGGGAAGAGGCCTCACACATCAGCCCTTCCTTTGGAACGCTCAGGATGCCCACCCAGCCCACCCTCCCACCAGCTCCCAAAGCCGTGGATGACCACCTTGTGCAGACGGAGAAGAGCGCTCTCAACAGCGTGGCGGTTACAGTTGCCTGAGTACCAGGGCTGACCCAGCAGGCCGCTGTCCTGTGGGCACACACACACAGAGCTCTCTTAGAAGGGGACAAGCAGAGACCCAAGATGGCATTCACATCTGCCAGCCTCAGACCACAGACTCACAGTGCGTGTCCCTCCAGTTGTGGACACTGTACCCCAGAGACCTGCCTTCCAGAGCCCTGTTCTCAGCCCTCTCCAGCCCTTCCTCACCTCGCCTGAGGGGTTCCTTGTGGGGGCTAAAGGTGGAAGAGATGGTGTCCTTCCTGCTGGAAGAAAAAGATTATGGAGCTGGGGTTAGGAGATTAGGCAAGGGATTAGCTGGGGTGGGGCAATGTGGGGGGTGAAGACAGGCCAGCAGCCCAGAGTAGGGTATTCAGCATGTCACGGCCCTTCTCAGACCTAGAGTCCCATGTCACCTGCCAGCTAGGCCTCTAAATGAGGACTGATCTTGGGTGCACAGTGGGAGCTTTCTGGTTTGGCACAGACCCTGGAGAATGACCATGGAATTCCCCTCCACAGCTTGGCCTTGAGCTTAGTAGAAACCAGGGCTTCAGAGACTCCTTAGCAAAGTAGGGCCTGGGGTGGGAGGGAGACTGGTCTACAGACAGTGGCTGTCCTGCACTCACCTTTAGAGGTGACGCTCGCTGCTGCCTGTGATATAGGAGGTCAGTCAGAGGCGAACTGGCCCCAGAGCACTGCCTCTGTCCTGAGGCCCCCCTCACCCTTCCCACCCCCAGCCCAGATCATCTCCCCTCTTACATTTCGAGCTTCCTGTGGGGTTTTGATGGGCCTGTGGGAGCAACCAGGGAGCAGAGTCACAGAAAGAGCACAGGAACCGAATCTGTCACCACTGCTGGCGAACATGTGACCCCAGGTCAGGGCTGCTAATATCTGGGCAAGGCACCTGCTCCCTTCTCTTTGTGTTTGTGTGTCTGTCTCTCGAGTTTGTTCAGATGAAGACACATCTGGTGGGGCTCTTACCTGGGCACCACTGATACTCTCAACCGAGGGGTAGGGGGAACCAGGACTTGGGAGCTCAGAGTCGGAACCAGGACTTGGGAGCTCGGAGTTCGAGTCAGAGCTGGAACTAAACAGAGAGAGTCAGGGAGCAGGCTGGGCTTGGCTCGGGGCTGGGCCAGCGCCTCCATACTGGCCAGGAGGGCCCAGGACAGCTGCAGCACCCTTCGCTTTGCACCCTGGGCTGTTGAGAATCCTCCCCGGCCAGCCAGCCAAAGGATGGCCTGGCAGCAGCTGCTGAAAAGTCCCTCAGTTACAGGACATGCAGGGGCAGGTGAGAAGGCTCACCTGGACTGGGGTCACATTCCAGGTAGAGGTCTTCAGCAGGTTTCTTTGGGGAGCCTGGCACCTATAATGGGGGGGAGGGCAGCGTGTGTGGTTGTGCCCTACTGTTTAGACATAGGGTACTTTGGCAGTAAGCAGCAAGAGCTGGGAGCATTCAACCCTGGGTACTCGACCTCCTCCTCATGATGTGGGCTTCTTTCTCGCAGCTAGCTTGAACAATTACAATTGGTCTCTGCCTTCGGAGGTGCCCTCTGTGAATGTGGGCATCCAGGAGGGACACCTGGCCCTGGGCAGGAGGCTCACAGAGATCAATGACTGACACCCCACCCAGGCCCTGTGGCAGGAGGGACAAGATTCCATCCAGGGCCTAGTTCCCTAGTTTCTTGGTTTCAGGGCTGTTTCCCGCCACCACCCCCAGCCATCCCTAGGCCTCTGTAGCTCTGCCAACTTCCTGAAAGAAAATCTGGAACAGGAGGTTTGAGGGTACTGCTCACCACTCTGGTGGGTGTGCTCAGCTCTGAAAGAAAAGATGAGAATCCCAGTTACTGACCAGCAGGGAGAAAGGACCAGGAGTAACTGGGTGCTCAGTGTAAGGAAAGGCATGGGTCAGGAGGTGGCCACCACACTGCCCCGTGAAAGGCTCACTCCAGGTGCCTTAGAGTAGCGGGTCCTGGCAGAGAAGGGTCTCCTCAGCCTCCCGTCCTGACTGGGCCACACCAGAGGCCACACAAGGGGCCTGGGGCAAGGACTCAGGTGTGCGCTCTGAAAAGGCATTGGCTTCCTATATGGTTGGAGGTAGTGCCCTACCTCGGGGGACTGCTAGGGGGACAAGCAAATGGGGAGATGACATGAGGCAGGACCCCTGCTCCCCTGCTGTAGAAGTGAGGATACCCTTTCCCAGTGAGGGCTCATGGAGAGAGCGGGCGTGTTCCTTACCTTGCCTGGCATAGGGCAGTCCCTGCTGCAGTACCTCCTGTAGACTGACCGATGCCCTTAGCTGTGGGCACAAAGCAGGACTGTGAGGGCTGGGTAGGGTGAGGGTCAGAGGGAAACTGAGGCATTTGGAAGTGGAGGAGGAGGAGGAAGAGGTGATAGTATTAAGTGGAAATTATTGAGTTGCTATTAAGTGGAAACCAGCACACAGTGACCCCATATGTGTCAGAGGGCAGCCCCATGGGGTCAGCAGGCCTGGCAAGGTGCTTCTGGGAGGGTTCAAGCTGCCAATCTTTTGGTTAGTGGTCAAATACTTGCTGAGCTGCTAGCACCTTCCAGAGACTCCCAGGATAGAATACACACATAGACTTCAGAAACAAACAAGATGACACAGACAAGTGGTCTGCCTCCACGCTGTGGCTCATTGTGGTTGATCAGTTTGTCAGTTTATCCCCATAATATAATACATAGTGAAAGCTGCTGTTTTCAGAGTCCCTCTGTGGATGGCAGCTGGAATGGGAACCTGGTAGCTGAGAGGTCTTCATCTTCAGCCAGCCTGTAAGGACTTCTGGGGGATGAGCGAGTGCCTTGTGTGATAATGGTGCAGAGGACAAAAGGAGTAAGGACAGGCTGGCAGTGGTTGGAGGAGCACCAGTCCGCAGGAAAGCCAGGCTCGCAGGCCAGTCAGGCAAGCCCTGCCTACAATCACGTAGATGCAGGGCTCTGCTTTCCTTCTGGGCTGACCTAACCTGAGCTCCTGTGGAGTGACCCTCTGAATGCAAGCGTGGGGAGCCCTGCCAAAGGGATGCATTAAAGCCTGTTCACTAGGAATTAGAAGGGGATCCACTGGGCAGAAAGAAAGCTGTGTGCAGAGAAGCAGGAGGGTCTCACCTTGTTAGGCTGAGAGAGGGGCAAGACTGGTGGAGGCAGTGGTGGCTTCAATGGGCTCAGAGAACCTGAATGATCTAGAAAACATGGGTGCATTGTGATGAGGGTAGGAGTTCCTGCTTACAGGCTCCCCCAGCCTCCTTTATATCCTCCCTCCCTCCTTCCTTAGAGCCCACCTCCTCCCATCCCGTCTCCATGGCAACCAGAGGCAGCTGTTACCCAGGTACTTTCTGGCCTTTTGGGGGCATGCTGGCTGCAGCCAGGTGCTCCAGGCACCCTGATCCTTGACCCCTGCCCCCCCCCATAGAAGTTATCCTGGGGTCTCAGAAGGGGCCTTTAGAGTACCACAGACTTATCCGGGTTTCCTGCTCCCCCACAGTTGCCTTGGTTACCAGTCATCATCCCCTTCCCTGTCCACACTTCCTTCCTCCCTTCCTCCACCCCCACTCCTTTCTCTGTGCCTGGTCCAGACGCTCCAACACTGGTAGAGGGAGGCCTTTGCTCCCTTCCCTGGAAGGAGACATTCTGTCCTGTTCCATCCCCCATTTCCCAGCTCTTACCCAGGTACACAGAATCCTGCTCAGAGCCGGGGAAATGTGCAGGGGCTATGTTGAGGGGCAGAGCCTCACAAGGGGGCAGCTCATATTTGTCCTCCTCCTCCTCCTCCTCCACCTCCACCACCTCCTCCTCCTGGGCCTTGAAGAAGGGCTGCTGAATACAGGTGAGAATGGAAGAGGCCCAGAAGTGGAGGTGAGCACAGCCTCCCCCCATCTCCTACCTAAGCCTCAGGAGCTGCACTCACCCTGTGTCTCCAGCTCCCTGGGGCAGGCAGAGGAGTACTGGGGGCATCTTCTCTCCAGGCTGGGGAATCTGGACAAGACATGGGCCTGAGTCCTCCGCCAGCCCCCTCCATCACAACATGTGCATTTTGACAGGTGGCTTCAGTGCTTCACCTCAGAGGGACCATTCCTGACAGGCAGGGTCAGCACCGCAGCAGAACCAATGGGAGAGGCTTTTTGGAAGCAGGCGTCGGTTGTCCCAACTAGCTGCTAGCCCCTCACCTCTAATTCTGACCAAAACAAGTGGGAGACCTAGCTTCCAGTGGCTTCATCATTCTGAGCAAGAGGTGGCCAGAGCCACTAGGAGACCCGACTGGCCGCTGGACCCACTTACCCACACATCTGGGGGGCGGCAGGGGTGGCTCCAACCTGCAATCAGACCTAGTCATCTCTGCACAAGAAGTGCAGAGTTTGTGCACAACTCCAACACTGCACAACTCCAGGACATGCACAACATGACCATGCCAGTGGCACCCCGGAGCTGTGTGACATGGTGGGCCATGGCAAGAGGAGGGGGAGACTCAAGCAGAGCCTGTACCATGGGAGTAACAAGGGTAAAGATGGGTGAACCACTGACCAGGGATGGGGGGGATCTGAGTGCTGACAGGAAAGAGTGGTCACACCAGGTGAGAGGACAGGTATGAGGACACCCAGTAAGGGAGCTGGGGGACAGGTGGGGAGGGAGGAAAGAAAGGAGCTCAGGTACTTACCTGGGCTTGTTTCCCCTAAGCTTATCCTAGGAGAGACCCAGGGAGGGAAAGGAAGGGGAGGTCAGAGCAGTGGGGAGGGATGGGGAGGGGAGGTCAGTACAGCAGGGAAGGGAGAGGAGGAAAGGGCAGTATAGCAGTGAGGGTAATGGAGGAGAGGTCAGTACAGGAGGGGGGGACGGGAGTGGTCAGTACAACAGGAGGGAAGTGGAGGTCAGTGCAGGGGAGGTCAGCACAGAAGGGAGATGAGAGAAAGGGTGGGAGGGCAGCAGAGAGGTACAAGACCAGGTCTCACCATGGAACAGGTAGAGAAGCTATGTCTCCTCGGGGCTCAGGCTCTGCTACAAATGGCCTTGGGGACAGGAGCCCAATTGTTCCCAACATTTGCATCTCCTCAGTACCAGGAAGATGGCCCATACCCCTCCCTGGACCCAGCCCCACCCTTCCCAGACACGTCCCACTTCACCTCCCTCACCTGTGGTCTGGATCCCCGCTGCCCCTGAGGTTCTCCCCTCACCGCTAACCTGGAACTAGAACTCACAGAGGCTCAGCTGGAGTCCTGCCCTGGCTTCTCAAACTCAACCCATGATCAGCTAGACCGTGTCCTTCCGCCCAGCTGCACCACAGTCCTTGGCTAGTTCACAGCACTTCACAGTGCTGCCCAGTTGACTATGATTCATGACGACCCTGTGAACCACAGATCTGAACCTTGCACTGTCCTCACCATCTCTGCTGTGTCACACTCATTGTGAGTCACTGTGTCAGTGTCTCAATTTGAGGATCTTCCTTCCTTTCTCTGCTCCTCTATCTTTCTCAGCCTATTGTCTTTTCCCAAGACTGGCTCCTGCTCATAGCCTCCACCCCAGCCTCTAAGGAGCACCTTGGCTGCACTTTCTTCAAGACAGATTTGGTTTTTTGGCAGACCATGGGATAGTCAGTACTCTTTGCAACACCACAACTCAAAGGCCTCTATTCTTCCATCATTCTTTTTCATTGCCCAACTTTCAGATGCATAGGAAACAATCGAAAGGACTAAGATCAGGTGCACCTTAGCGTTTAACTGACATCGTGCTGGTGTAGCACTTGGTAGTATTGTCCTTAACAGCAGATTTTCCAATGCAACACATCTTCTGTCTTCTTGACGGCTGTTACCATGGAGGTTGATTGTGCATCCAAGTAAAGGAAATAGTTGATTACTTCAATCTTCTCTCCATCTAGAACAATGTTGCCTGTTGATCTAGTGGTGAGGATTTCTGTTTTCTTGATGTTGAGATGTCATCCATATTCAAGGCAGTAGTCTTTGATCTTCTTCAGTAAGTGGTTCAGGACTTCTTCCCTTTCTACAAGGAAAATTTTGTCATCTGCAGGCTGTTGATGAGTCTTCCTCTAATTCTGATGCCATATTCTTCTTCATATAGTCCAGTTTCTCAAATTATCTACTCTGCATACAGACTAAATTGGTTGAGAGAAAGGATACATACAGCTCTTGCTACTGTGTGGTCAATGCCCTGGCTTCAGTCACCTCACCTGGTTAAAGAATCAAGCCAGGTGGGACAGACTGGAGGGGTGAATGCAGTGCCCAATGTACTGAAGTAGCACAGTGTATACCAATTTCATGGGCCTTTGAGAGAGCTGACTTTAGTGTACCTCTGAGGGCTGGGATTTAGTGTACAATATGGGGGCCCTAAGAAAGGCCATTGTTGGTCGTGCTCAGAATAGTGCTAGTGTAGGTCAAGGTCTTTTTGGAGCACAAGGTCAAGAGGAAAGGCAAAGATAAACAGCAAAGACAGATGGATTAGAAGAGATACATCCCAAAAGTAAGAAGAGACAGTCCTTTGAGGACAAAAGGTGATGGAGGAGGTTCTGCCATTGAGCTGGGATATGTATAAGGTGGGATATTGTGTAGATATGGCTTCCTCCTCTGGAAGTCTGGACCATGGAGAGCTCAGAGTTTAGCAGGTAGCTTTTATTCAGGTCTTAGTGCCTAAGACACCAATCATGAGCTTCTTCCTCCACTATCTTATTGGTATTCAGCATTTTTCCCACCTGCCCCTAGTTATGTCTGCTGGATTCTGACCCTGACACCGTGAGACCTATGTTTGCTAATTTGAAACCACACAGAGTTCCCTCATTCTGTTCAGACAACAGCTTCTTGGGCTAAGTCTAGGTTTCTCATGAGCATGATTGAGAGTTTTGGGCTTTTCATCATTCTTCTCAGTATATGCCATAGTTTGTTTGCCTTTACTTCACAGAGAGGGGCAGACCCAGTTAAAATGGGACTGGCCTCTCACTGTTCTTAAACCCTCCTGCTTGTTGTCCTTCCTGGCTAGTAAGCAGTGAAGATGGTTAAGGATATGAATGTTAGTGAGAAGCTCAGGAATCAGCTATCATATTTGACATTACAACTTCCTCTGTATTTTTTCCATTTTTAAAAAAAAATTGTTGCAAATTTCTTTCCCCTCCTCTCCCCAGCCCACCTGCAATGTAGCCCTTGCTCCAGATTGTTGTCATACATATAATGCCTAGTCATATATTCCTTTCAGACAGTTCTTCCTCTCATCTGATCTAATTCAGTGTTCATTATCTATCCACTCTTTTCCCATTTTCTCCCCAACACCCTGCCAGGTGTGTCCTATTTTAGAACAACCATGTTCTGCAGTGTTTGTCTTTTTATGACTGAGGTAGTTCACTCAGCATAATGTCCTCCTGGCTCTTCCATGTTGTATAATGTTTTACAAGTTTATTGCTTTTCAGTGCTGTGTAATATTCCATTGTGTGAATGTACCATAGTTTTTCTATCCATTTGTTTGTTGATGGACACTTAGGTTGCTTCCATCTCTTTGTTATTGTGAATAATACAGCAATAAATATAGGTGCACATATATCTGTTTTGTGTGGCAGCTCTGATTTCTTTAGGGTATATTCTCAGTAGTGGAATTGCTGGGTCAAATGGTATTTCCATTTCCAACTTTTTGAGAAAGTGTCAGACCACCTTCCATAGTGGCTGTACCATTCTACTCCCACCAGCAGTGAATAAGGGTTCCAATCTCTCCACAACCTCACCAACTTTGTTGTCTGCTACCCTGTTGAACTTTCCTATTGTTGCTGGGGTGAGATGATACCACATAGTCATTTTACAGCTTTCTTTCTTGACAGATGCATGTATTCAGTTAGTATTGACTTGCTGACGTCTCCTCTATGACAGGCACTGTTCTGGGTCGGTCCTGGAGACACTCAATTATTTGATTCTATACAACTACTTTAGAATCAGAGCATGCCTGCTTATGCTCGGCAGCCAGAGCTATTTGTCAAATGTGCTGGTATAGAAAGTCCAGTAGTCAATTCAAAAGTCAATTTGCAGACTTTGGAAAGAACTGCTGACTTCTCTGAGTCACTTGCCCAAACCCCTAGAAAAGAGCCTTATTATTCACATTTGACTTAGCACCTGAAACAGGTAGCCTTTCTGTAGAAACAAGGACCACTTAGACATTTTGGCCCCATACCCACCATACTGAAGAAGGTCGTTGTCTTCTGTGTCCCATCCACCATCTATTTATCTAAGAATACTCTCCTGAATTGAGACATTTTGGTTCCCCCTCCCCGGGCCCCGCTTCCTGTGTCTGTGAATATCTGAGGCTCCATAAGACTATAAGGAAATGGGTGGGCACTTCCTTTCGGCATGTTAATGGAAGAGGAACCTTAGCTAACTTTATACAAATTCCCCTTCCCAAGAAAGGTGATCCAACAGAACGTGGAAATTATACAACAAATCATTAATACCACATGCAAGCAAAGTATTTCTGAAGATCAACCAAAAATGGCCAGAACGGTACATTGATAAGGATCTGCTAGAGGTTCAAGCTGCATTTAGAAGAGGCTGTGGCACCAGGTTTGTCATTACTGATGTCAGATATATCCTGGTTGATAGCAGAAAATACAAGAAGAATGTCTATTTGTGTTTTATTAAATGTATAAAGGCATTTGACTGTGTGGTCAATAATAAATTATAGCTAAAATTGAGAAGAATGGGAATTCCAGAGCTGTGCCCATAATGAATTTTGCTCATACAAAGCTTATACCTATGCCAAGAAGTTGTTATCCAAACAGAACAAAGGAATCCTGCATGGCTTAAAATCAAGAAAAGTATGTGTCAGGGCTGTATCCTTTCTCTACACTTATTCAATCTGTATATTGAACAAATAATTCGAGAAGCCGGACTTAAAGGGGAAAAAAACAGAGTATCAGGATCAGAAGAAGACTCATCAACAAGCTACATTATGTTCGGGCACCAGAATGTTGCAGACCGAGGGTCCCAAAGAATAGA